CTCTGTGAATGTACTACACCATTTAAAATCATGAAATTACAGTAGGATGAATTACTGTAAATATTTTTCAAATAAATTTGTGTACTGTACAAATATGAGTGAAAATATTGGTAAAATCTCACCTTTAGTATGCCAGACTGGCCGAGGCTAATGTACTAGAACCTTTAAAATCATAAAATTACAGTAGGATGAATTGCTGTAAAACATTTTCAAATGAATTGGTGTACTGTAGAAATATGAGAGTAAATATGGATAAAATCTCACCATACTGTACAAATATAAGTGAAAATATGGGTAAAATACCACCTGTAGTAAGTCAGTCTGGCCTCTGTGAATGTGCTACACCCTTTAAAATTATAAAATGACAGTAGTATGAATTACTGTAAAAAAAAGTTTAAATGAATTTGTGTACTGTAGAAATATGAGAGTGAACATGGGTAAAATCTCACCTGTAGTTAGTCATTGAGCCCTATGTGAATGTACTACACCCTTTAAAGTCACAAAATTACAGTAGGGTGATTTACTGTAAATATTTTTCAAATATATTTGTGTACTGTAGAAATATGAGTTAAATACATTATTTGGGTAAAATACCACCTGTAGTAAGTCAGTCTGGCCTCTATGCTAATGTACTACACCCTTTAAAATCATAAAATTATAGTAGGATGAATTACTGTAAAAATATTTGTGTACTATAGAACTATAGTAAGTCACTGAGGCCAAAAGAGGGCCAGCTGGGGCTACGAGGCCAAGTGAAAGTAGAAGCGGACACTAGTTTTAAACAAATAAGGGAAAGAAAACATATAGCCTTATAGGTTGGGTCTTTTGCTTATGATCACCCTTATGTTTCCCTTTTTATTGTTGGGCTGTTGCATAAAATAATAATGCAAGGCGCGTACTCAAGAGCTGTGTTGTCGTGCGCCTACTGAAGGGCAGGAGGGGGAAGGGGAGGGGAGGGGGGGTTGTCGCAGGGCACTTTTTATCATTTTGGAAGGGCACTTTCTATCCAAGATTAAAAAGGGCATGTGCACTGCACAGGTTGAGCCCTATGTGTGCACCTGCCTGGTGCGCTCACTGTGCTGGGTCCCTCCATTAGTGGCAAGACCACTCGATCCACAATGCCAACAGTTGGTCGGCAAGTAAATGAATATGATGAATGAGAACACACAGACACGATTAGCCCGGCCCAATAAAAGCCCTGGCACGCACTGGCCCGACAGTGGAAATGTGGCTATTTTGGTGAAATTTTGTGTGCTGTAACATTGTTATTTTTCTGATAGACCTGTTTTAATTTTTAAAACTGCCAGCTGTCAGACGACACCTGTTGGGTATCCTTCATTGACAAAGTTCTTTAGCATGTTATTGTCATTCACATGAACAGCTGAGAATCACCTTTTTTTTCTTTGATCTGATAATATAGTACCCACAGTTGTCTGTGCTGTCAAGGACTTAGTTCACCCAAAAACTCTAATTTGGCTTTTAATGAATCACCCTCAGGTCATTTAAATTCCCAGAGAACACAAATTGTTTGCCTACATCTCTCCCACATCAGGTCAGGGTGCACGTGAACCACTGAAATCACATTAAATGGTATGACAATGGTGTATGGGTGTTTCTCAGTGATGGGTTGCAGCTGGAAGGGCATCTGCTGCATAAAACTTATGCTGGATAAGGTTCATTCCGCTGTGCCGACCCCAGATTAATAAAAAGACTAATCCGAAAAGAAAAAGAATAAATGAATAATTTTACTGTTTTTGGCCTCTTTTTTGTACTTTGACTCCAATGCTGTCGACAATGACTATACGTTAACATGGACATCAGTAATCAAATTATTTGCCTTAATCTAATTAAAACAATGATAAGATTAAGGTGTTTACATGAGTTGCTTTTTGAATGTTTCTTTCATGATCCCGTTGTACATGTTAAAGCATGTAACTTGATTAATTTTGCAGTGTTATCCGCATTTTCTACAGTTTCATGTAATTTCGGTTGTTTTAATTTTAATTTGTGGATTTTAACTGCAGTTTGGCACTTTCTCATGCATCCCCCCCCCCCATGACAAACGAGATATTGGATCCATCTATGAACTGCCGGAAGAGTTGTTTTAATTGAAGTTCATACCGCATGCTGAATGGAAGAAAAAAAAACCTTCGCATTTCACAAGTGTCTGTGACTCGGTAGATGCAAAGAGTGTCAACCAGCCATGTGTGTGAGTGTGTGTGTGTGTGTGTGTGTGTGTGTGTGTGTGTGTGTGTGTGTGTGTGTGTGTGTGTGTGTGTGTGTGTGTGTGTGTGTGTGTGTGTGTGTGTGTGTGTGTGTGTGTGTGTGTGTGCGCGTGTGTGTGTGCATGTGTGTGTGCATGCATTATGAACATGAAGGTGATAGTTTGATTAAGGTGTTTACATGTCTGTACTGCACTAAAATCATCATACCCTAAGTCTTAATTCGATTTTTCTTTAGTTTGATTAGAAGCTTAACCCAAATTAATCAAAAAATCTCAGTTTACATGGTAGACTTTTAATCAGAGTATTGTCTTAATCATTATAAAATTGAAATATTGGTGACCATGTAAACATACTCAATGAAAGAGCTCTTGGACTTAATCTAAAATATCTTCATTTGTGTTACAAGGATGAAAAAAGGTCTTGGAATGGCATTATCTAATAGATTTCAGGGCTCAGATTTTAGAAAAAAGTATATGTGGATCATTGGTCCAGATTCGGAAATCCCCTGTTTTGCTATGTATCCAATATTAACTGATCCGTCTTACTGTTATGACAGTTTTAAAGGAACAATGGATTGGGTCACTGTGATCCAAATACCAAATTTTCAGGATTACCAAATCCTGTTTACCCGAGACATAAATGAAACCACCAGTACAGGTAGGTATATATATATATCATTCATTTTCTCGTCGGCATAGTCTCTTTATTAATCTGGGGTCGACACAGCAGAATGAACCACCAACTTATCCAGCACGTTTCTACCGAGCAGATGCCCTTCTAGCCGCAACCCATCTCTGGGAAACATACACACACACACTCACTCATACACTGGACAATTTAGCCTACCCAATTCACCTGCACCACATGTCTTTTGGGTTTTAGGGGAAACCGGAGCACCCGGAGAAAACCCATGCGAACGCAGGGAGAACATTCAAACTCTACACAGAACGCCAACTGAGCCGAGGTTTGAACCAGCGACCTTCTTGCTGTGAGGCGACAGCACTACCTACTGCGACAATATATTATATTATATTATGTTATATTAGTTTGTTCTAGTATATTGTTTTAACTGCTTTAATTTTGTTTCGTTGTTGTTTACCATATCTCATTAGATGTGACCTGCATCACAATTGAGACGTCATGGTGGTGCAGTTGGTCGCCTCACAGCAAGCAAGAAGGTCACTGGTTCGAGCCTCGGCTGGGTCAGTTGGCTTTTCTGTGTGGAGTTTGCATGTTCTCCCCATGTTGGTGTAGGTTTCCTCCTGGTGCTTCGTTTTCCCCCCACAAGTCCAAAGACATGCACCATAGGTGAATTGGGTAAGCTAAATTGGCCTTAGTGTATGTGTGTGAACAAGTGTGTATGGGTGTTTCCCATTACTGGGTTGCAGTTGGAAGGGCATCCGCTGCATAAAACATGCTGGATAAGTTGGTGGTTCATTTTTGGTGTGGCAACCCCAGAATAATAAAGGGACTAAGCCAAAAAGAAAATGAATGAATAAAATCACACTTTCTTATCAGGATAATCCTGTTTTTTTTTTTTTTTTTTTTTTTTTTTATCAAATAGATACCAATCTGAGTTCAAGTTTTAAATAACCCAAATGGCAAGTTTAATGCAAGTTAAAAATAAGATTGGTTTAGATCAGGGGTGGGCAAACTCGGTCCTGGAGGGCCGGTGTCCTGCAGAGTTTAGCTCCAACACTAATCAAACACACCTGAACATGCTAATAAGTGTCTTCAATATCAACAGAAATCTATTGACCTTATTCTCCGCAGACGAGCGGGCGCTGCCATTTGAATCTTTTTGGCACGAGACTTCCGGTCTCATTCACTTACATTCATTTTTAGACATTAAAAACTGCTCGTTTCGCTGTTTGATGTTGCAAACTGATATTTCCTTGTTATATTATTCTACTTGGTCTGTATAGTCATGCAAACATTTGTTTGTAGAGCAAGTAGTTTGACCGTTTTTTGCCGTTTATTATTCCTTGTCATTTCTCCCATAGGCGACTGAAACAGAAGTTCTAAGACAATCGCGAAATCAGGCGCACTTCCGCATTTTAGAATAAAGTCAATAAGGTTGGAGCTAAACTGTGCAGGACACCGGCCCTCCAGGACTGAGTTTGTCCACCCCTGGTTTAGATGTTCTGATCTTAATTCAAAATCCCTCTGTTACTTTAAAAAAAAAAAAACATTTTCAAGATTTTATTTAATCCGTGATCCAAATCCCCCTGGATTACTTTTAAAAAACTGTGCCCTGATGAAAATAAATTAGGAGTGAGTACATTTTTACCATTTCTACAATTTCTGGACATATTACACACCAGTGTTCAAACACCATTTCAAGAGTTCCCACTTAGATATGCTTGGCATTTATAGCAGGTTTGGCATGCATCCTGAGCTCGGAGATATTTGAGCACAGGGCTCCCCCCCAATCAATAAAGGGGATACGAGATCAGGTAGGTCTCAATAGCTCCCCCTTTAGAAAGGGGAGAAAAAGGAGGAGATGGGGTGGAAGGGGGGATTCTTCCAAAATGAAGATAGAGCAATGAGAAAGTGATCCATTTATATTAAGCTAGGATCACTCTGATTGGATTATTACTGATTACGGATGAGTGGCCAGCAGTGCTCAATCATATCACATGCTGCTCTCGAAATTAGTTTATGAAACTTCACGTAAAAGAATTTCAAAGAAAATAAGGTCATAGTAGAGATTAACATTTTGTTTTTTATTTTACATCATTGCAACAGCAGAGGAAAACAAACCAACAAAAAAAAAAAAAAAACTGCCATTCTTTATTGACTGGCCCTCTGTTCTACTGTTAGCGCCTAGAGGAGCATCACAAAAAGGGAAATGATACAAGTCAAGCCCACGAGCACAGCTTTGAAGGGGGATTCAATTATTTGTGAATTCAATTCAGCCATACTTAAAAAAATACAGAAAATGGGATTGACTTAAAAACATTCATTTAAAACAAACAAACAAAAAAAACATTCATTGAAATGACTTTCCAATAAACACAGACATCGTTGCATTGTCACAGAGGAGATCTGAACACACGCACACACACATACATACTCTGTACAGTACATAATGTCTCATCAATTTTGTAGTACAGTAACAGCAAAACTAACAGGTTGATGATGGACAAAGTAATGACAGCATTCTTAGCGAACGTATGAAAAAACAAGCAGTTCGGCAATTTAAAACTGAGAAAGTCTTAATCAGAGTACAAACCATTCAGAAGCATTCTGGGATTAGGAAAGACTACAGCATGATATTTATTCATTGTTTTCAATAGCCAGTATAAATACATAGCCAGTTATTTCAGATATCTGATCGCTTGCACTTGATTAACTGCGGTTACAAACTCACATGCCCCAAAGATATTTTGTTGATATTTGATCAGGTCAGTGGTGAGATTTTAAGCAAATAATCTGACATGTTTATTTTTTATTACAGCAGTTCATTGATGCAGTTGTACAGCGGTTATAGGAGATGGAGGAGTATATGACTGTGTTTTTAACATTCTCTCTCAAAGTCCATTATGTACAAATGTAGCATCCAAACTGACCCATTTTTTAGTATTATGTTTAGTTCTGCTTCTACAATACGACACGGCAACCAATATGACACGCACGCACTCAAAAAACAAAAGAAAGAAAAGAAAACATCAATGTTTCATACGATTCACTCAGCAATTCAGAAGAACACTATCTTTGGTCACAAAATGAGAAAAACAAACAAAGACATTCAGCCATGAAGCATTTTAAATGTTTCCATTATTTGCAAAGAATGAGCAATAAATAATAACAATGATGATCAGGAAGATAAAATGGCATCTGGTTGCCGAGCGAAGGATAAATTCTTGTGTTTTAAAAAAGGCTACAGACAGGTTTGCAGAATATTGTATCAAGCGTCTGGTCTTCCAGCAGGTGGAGGTTGTGGTTTGTCCTGCTGTCCTGCGGGTGGATGTGGCTCTGGCGTACAGTAGCGCTGGAGCAGCTGATGCAGGTGCTGCTGCAGGTCATCGGGTCGCAGGCTTTCCGCCGTGTCCTCCAGTCGTTCTAGGTGGGTTTGTTTGGCCTCTCCATCCTTCACTACTGTCCGCTTCTGAGTGCGCGTCTTATGCATGCGGGTCCTACAAATCAACAGATTACAATTACTAAAAACTCTGAATATTTTTGAAAAAAATTATATAGTCAAAAATAGAAAAAAATCAGATTAGTGACACTCTCCAAACATTAAATGCACTGACACACAGTGTTGTGGTGGGGTAGCTGCAGTTCACTTGTGACCCGGGATTACAAAACCAGTCAGAAGTGTACATTTAAAAAAAAAAAGTATGAATACATAAGATTTCCATTTATGTGTGGTTTATTAGGATGAAAGAAATTTTTGACAGAGATACTGAAAATGTGAAATATGGAATCTGAGGGTTTAAAATCTAAATACTAAAGACTAATTGCCTTTAAAGTGACATGTCTAAATACTAATTGCCTTTAAAGTGGTCCAGATTAAGCTCTTAGTATATTACTAATCAAAAATTACGTTTTGATATATCTACAGGTGACGCAGTGGCAAGTAGGTAGTGCTGTCGCCTCACAGCAAGAAGGTCGCTGGGTTGCTGGTTCGAACCTCGGCTGAGTTGTTGTTTCTGTATGGAGTTTGCATGTTCTCCCTGCGTTCGCGTGGGTTTCCTCCTGGGGCTCTGGTTTCCCCCATAGTCCAAAGACATGCGGTACAGGTGAATTGGGTAGGCTAAATTGTCCTTAGTGTATGAGTGCGTGTGTGGATATTTCCCAGAGATGGGTTGCGGCTGAAAGGGCATCCGCTGCGTAAAAACGTGCTGGATAAGTTGGCAGTTCATTCTGCTGTGGTGACCCTGGATTAATAAAGGGAATAATCCGACAAGAAAATGAATGAATGATATATCTACAGAAGGAAAATGAAAAAGTCTTCATGGTACAAGATTTTCACTTAATATTCAAATATTTGTTTATAGAGGAATGAACCGCCAACTATTCCTGCATTTTACAAAGTGGATGCCCATCCAGTCACCCATACACACTCATTAACAAACACTCATAGACAATGCCATTTTAGTTTATTCATTTCCCCTATAGGGCATGTCTTTGAACTGTGGGGGAACCGGAGCACCCAGAGGAAACCCACACCAACATGGGGAGTACATGCAAACTCCACACAGAAATGCCAACTGACCCAACCGGGACTCGAACAAGCAACTTTCTTGCTGTGAGGCAACAGTGCTAACCACTGAGATGCCCTATTTATAATATATCTGGCATCAAAAGAAAATCAACAAATGTTTACTGTTGAAAAAAATTTTTGGCTATTCCCACAAATTTGCAAGAGCAACTTGTGGTCCAGGGTCAAGCTCAGCTACTTATGAAACCATGTAGCTGTCCCAGTAGCTAGCTACTTTTCCCAGCAAGAGTAGAGCATCTGCAGTACATTCAGTGAAGATGCCATTATCTAAAGCAGCACAGCATCAGCTTACAATATAACATCCAGCACAGTGCTTAATTTGAGCCAGATCTTGTCCGCATCTTGTTCCGAAAAATGTCAGCTATTTGTGTTTTGCCTTTTGCTATTTATTTTAATGAATCTGGCATTAAGTTGTGTGTGGTGAATACCTGCAGGTATGTGTGTGTGAGAGAGAGAGAAAGAGAATGTGAATGAGTGCAAGCGGAGGCTATGTGGATTGTATGTGCGCGCAGATACACATGATGGTAGTCACCATCCGCAAGTTAAAGCAAAAGTCACGTTTAACTATTGACCCTCAACGATATATTCAGCCAAATAGTTTTATTGTGTTTACAATCACTCTTGTTGGTTGGTGATTAAGAAGATGAAACTGAACCCCTGGATCAGGACAGCACGAGATAGAAGCAAAGCGATCTCAAGTCAGCCAGAAAACATGATAAAAGAATGGTAACTGACGCCTTTTCTCAAAGATTAGATTGAGAGAGTCATTTAATGAATTTTTTCAATTGACACATAATCAGGACCGTGCTGCTCTGATACTGTTCAAGCCGCCCTCTGCTGGCTGCAGATGTAAGACATAGGTCCATGCCGCCCCTAGAAAGTGATGTGGTCAGAAATATAATGCTCTTTTTTTGTGCTGTCACTGTTTAATGATGTCATGTTCTGGGAAAACTTAAATAATTTGGTGCACGTCGGTCAAGGCAACTTTTATTTCCTGGTCTTTTTACGGGAATTATTCAATTACAAATTACTTGTATGTTAATTACAGTTTCCATATTTTGTAATTCTTTTTCCATTTATTTAAGCTTCTTGAGTGTATTATGGGAGCTGTATCTTTTTCTTCCTACAACTTTGGATGGTAAAAAGTTTCAAAAAGAAATTCTATTGACATATTTAATAGTTTGATGTGATATATTGCCTGAGTTGGTATAGTAAATTATGACCAAGCAATAAACTGGCAATAAACATTGTTCGCTGATCAAAGTTGATCTTTGAATAAAAGTCTCTAAATAATAAAAATTAAAATAAAGTAACTTCTTAAAGTGTCATAGACAACATTTGAAAAGACAGAAGTCTCTCAGATAATATCTTGTTTTCTTCTGGGATTAGAACATGATGCAGGTGAGTGCAGGTGAGTTTTTTCATTGTGGGGTGAATTAACTCTTTAAAATATTATTTCATATTAATACTTAAGTCAGAGCAGATCTGACAGTCACTTTAAAGTTCACCTCTGTAGTAATGGGAAGTGTCGAACATTCACAAAGATCTTTTGTCTTTAAATCCAACTGGAAAGAAGTATTGAGAGGGTGGAGCTTTATAACACTTTATAATAACTACACACTATGATTAATTTACTAAGCATTTGCATAGTGAATTCATTATTTGTTAAGCATTAACTCTACATTTATGTGTGTTAGTAAGCAGTTTATAACTAAAGTTACAAATGCTGTATTGTTGACTTACAACCACATTTAAAATGTGCTTAATAATTGTACTTTCATACTTTGTTAATGATTTGTTTTTCATTACTAAATTAAGTATTGCATTATTTACAAACCATTTGTATTTAAGAGTAGTTGGTGGTTTTTAAGGTCATTCAGAATGAGTTAGTAAATGATTAATAAACTATTAAAATGAATGTCTATATATCTTATTATTCAGACGTAATGGTTACTATGTATGTAAATAAATGGTTTATTACCTCAACTTTCATTTACCTCAGTTTCGTGACCTAATCTAAAGTGAGGACCATTTATGCTTTATAAATCCCTATAAATGACAATTAAAGTCTCAGTATCAAATGAACAATAATCTTTCCTATCTTATCTAAAAAGTAAAATTGCTGTTAAGTTTAAACATTGCTCAATGACAAGAGTGTCAAAATACAACATCAAATAGGATAAAACAACAACAATATAATAATTAAACATTAAAATAGGATGCAATGTTTAAACTGTTTAGTCATTTTATTTTAGATAAAGTTGCAAAAATGTATTTTTCATTTGAAGTACAGTTTAATTTGTGTATCTTCAAACGATTTCCTTGTTTAGAATTTAACTGAGCCTTTAGTTGCCATTCATAAGAGATTTATAAAGCATAAATAGTCCTCACTTTAGATCAGGTCACTGGATTAAGATGAGGTATTAAAGCATTTATTAACATACAAATTAACTATTAATAAATGCCTAAATAATAAGAATTATAAATGTTCATTTTATTGGTTTACATATCATTTACTATCTCATTCTGAATGATCTTTAAAAAAAAAAACAACCAACTATGCTTAAATAACTTTTTTGTAAATAATGCAACACTTAATTTAGTACAGAAAAATAAACCATTAGTAGTATGAAGGTACAATTATTAAGCACAATATAAATGTGGTTATAAGTTGAGAATAAAGCATTTGTAGCTGCAGTTATAAACTGCTTACTAATGTTTATTAATGTAGAGTTATTGATTAACAGATAATGCATTCACTATTTGCTAATGCTTAATAAATGGTTCCTAGTGTGTAGTTATTCTAACGTGTTACCGAGCTTTCTTTTTGAGAATCTTTCTCTCTTACTTGCAGTAAGAGAAGTGTGGTTAAGAATGTTGTGGCTGAAGCCATCAAACTGATGTCAACAAATCAGGATTGCCACTATAAAACATGGAAGCAAAGGGTCAGACTTTTCTATCAGATAAGTTAAATAACCGCTTCCAAAAAAGCTTGTCATATTTGTACTTGGGGAAAAGGCAACATATTGGCAAATAGCCAGATTAATACTGGAACAGGTTAGTAAACTGACATACTTTAATTTAGAAGAGCACAAAATCTTGTTTGGCTTTAAGCACAAGCATGCCTCTACAATGATCTCCACAGGCTCTCATTTATAATGCTAAGTTTCTATTGTAGAATCAATTTTTAGTCAAATTGAAAACACATGCTGTGGATAAAGAGCAACTGTTGCAGCTTTGGTGGATTGAGTATTAATAACTGCTCTTTTATTATCACACCATTCACCTAATCAACTACATTATAAACTGACATGCCATTGTCCAGACCTTCTGACCACTGATCCATCCTCTTTCACCGTCTCTTTCTCAACTAAATGAGGCAGAAGCACTTTCTCAAAGCCTTCTACATAACTCAAAGCCTAGACATATGAGAGAAATACAACTGAGCCAAGAACAAAATTCAAGACATGTAATACTACCCGAGCACTAGTGCACACATACTATATATTTTATACAAATTACTCTGAATCAAATGGTATCTGAATAACAGCCATAAGATACAATTGCATTAGATAAGAAACAAAAATGTAGACCTTTTCAAAGTCGTCTTTGGCTGATGGGAGATCAGATGAGAGAGAAGGGTCTCCGATGAGTTTTTCCATTCGATCACCTTGCACTACCATGGTTTTGACAACCTTGCTGACCTTCCGACCTTGAACAGGCTCTTCTTCAAATTTAGATGATGTCGCCCCAGCATAAGAGAGAGGTTCAGAGAAGGTCACCTGAAATGCAAAGACATGATTTTACTGTAATTTACCATACACTGTCAAATAACGTGCATCAGCATAGTGAGATTTCAAAGCATACTCCATTTAATACTATGGGGAACACAGATGCTCAACCACTAGGAAAAAAATTAACGAAACTTATAACCACACCTTTTTGATCACTATTGGAATTGTATACGTTTTCTACTTGAAAAAACTTGATGATCGATGAAAACCAAAAGCATTTTTTAAAATATCTTGTTTGTGTTCCAAACTAGATTAACATGACCATGATTAACAGAAGATTTTTTATTTATATTTTCTTGGAGAAGTTTCCCTGGACTACCACTGTGCTGTATGTCTGTAAACATACCAAACAAATAAAAAAGCTGATAACTGATACAAACTAAGGTGCAATCAGATTTCTACAGCATGTCTTTGCCCTACCCCTTTACCATAATCCTCCAGTACACCTGTTAACATGAAAGGGTAGGAGTATCTCGATACTCTTTTGGTTTAATGGGTGCCAGATAACCCTTCAAACAAAGGGTTGTTTGGGACCACACTACAAATTAAGATGTATGAAACATTTCTGTAAATACACCAGGTACAGCAGCAACATGGCTGTCCAAGCGAGCAAGGAGACCTACAAATGTAAAACAAAAAAAAGCCAATCATTATTTTTACTATAAAGCATCATCTGATTTTATTACATTTATAAAGACATTCTGTCACATCCGTCAGTGACCACCTGTGGGCGTTGTAGTGCATCAGGACTCAGATAGCACTACAGCGTCCCAGAAGGACTAAATTTCCATACATTCTTTCGTGCACACATCCGGTCTGTCATCTACACTGATTGCAATCACAGCTGTCTCTGTCTTACTGTTGATTATCTGGACTATTTATACAACCATTCCATCTCTGTTTGTCATCGCGTCGTTTGTCTTCCTTGTCGTTCTTGTCCCCAGTTCTAGTAAGTCTTGCATACTGAGTTTCTTGATCTTGTTCTTGTATTTTTTGCTAAAGTCTAGTTTGTAGAGTTATTGTTCCCCTTCGGTTGGGGAACTTCAGTGCCATAGAGTGGATTGATTGAAATCCACAAAATGGGAGGATTCGGTTCAGAAGCCGCTTGTCTGAAAGAGTATTGAACGGGCCAATGAATGCAATGAATTGGCAGCGTAAGCTTGCACAGGTGTACTTCATTGCCAATTATCCCAGCATATAAGCACAACTGGAGCAAGCAGACGCCATCCTTTTCGCTTCAGAGACTTTCTGATCGAGTCGTTGAGGGTTCCTCCTGCTGTGACCAGCGATTCTGAGCGAACGAGAGCATTCTCCCCGTCCAGAGTGTGTACACGCAGCGGCAGACGGTCGAGCTGGGTTTTTCCCTTGCCTGGCGTTCTTTGGGTCCGGTCCTCCAGAGCGGTGCGTATAAAGTTGCAAACTTCACAGAAAGAGCAACACAGTCGTCCAGCACGTCCTTTTCAGGACAGCGCTCCGACTGTGCGTTTCTGGATGCGGTGGTTTCCTGTCCTCGGATGATGGGCACGAGCACTGCGTTGCATGTCTGGGGGGTCCAGCATGTTAATGCGCTGCTCGCGGGCAGTTCATGTCATCATTGCGATGCCATGACTGTTGCGCAGTAAAGATCGCGGCTAGCCTTTGCAAAAGGGCGAACCACCCCAGTTTTCCCCTGCTCTGCAGCGGGCACTCGGGCAGATCTGAGGGTTTCAGCGAGAGATAATCCGTCGCCCACGGGCCCGCAGACCTCCCGCTCCTCTAAGTGCTCCATCCAAGCTTCGGGCGGGGGAAGCGATCCGTCTAACAGATGGTAGCGCTTACGCCCGATGACACCGGAGACCAGACGTCCACCGCGGCATCGGAGGGTGGGCTTTCATTGTCCGATGATGATCCAGACCCGCTCGCCCCCTTCGGGCTGATGAGCGCTGTCACTACGGATCCTGAAACGGACATGTTAGCCGTGCTTTCCTGGGCTGCTTCGGCCGTGGGTTGGAGATGGTTTGTCCCCCCGCTCCGCGGCCGGACCGACTAGAGGTGCGTTCCCTTCTTCCCTGAGGTGCACAGTAGGCTCACACGTTCTTATAAAGCACTTTTTTCTGCTCGTGCTGCGTGTCCCTCCACCCTAACCACTCTTGACGGTGGAACAGCCAGGGGGTATGTGGCGATTCCTCAGGTTGAGTGCGCGATGGCGGTAAATCTGCGGGGCGCCTCTTCTGGGCGGGGTCCGCCTCGTCTCCCATCCAAAGCCTGTAAGTTATCTACCTCCCTCGGAGCTAGAGCTTACATAGCTGCGGGCCAGGCTGCTTCCGCCTTGCATGCGATAGCCACCTACCAGCGCTACCAAGCGCAGGCGCTGGCCGAGCTGCACGAGGGTGGGATCTCTTCTCTCGGGCTGGAGCTGGACTCGGTCACCATGGCAGCGCGCCTCTCCGGAGAGCGCGCTCAGCTGATGCTGTACTATCTGAGAGAGCTCGACAGTAAAATACTGGTCCCACTGAAACTATTTCAGAGGCTCCTGGGGTATATGGCATCCGCAGCCGCTTCATGCCGCTCGGATTATTCTATGTGAGACCACTTCAGCACTGGCTTCACGATCGAGTCCCCAGACGCGCATGGCAAGCGCGCGCACACCGAGTCTCTGTTACTGCGCTGTGTCGCCGCGCCCTCAGCCCTTGGAGCGACCCCTCGTTCCTACAGGCCTGGGTGTCTCTAGAACAGGCGTCCAGTCTTGTTGTCGTTTCAGCAGACGCTTTTAACACGGGCTGGGGGGCTGTGCGTTGCGGGCATGCGGCTGCGGACCTGTGGAAAGGTACCCAGTTGCATTGGCATATCGCCTGGAGCTGTTGGCAGTGTTCCTCGCTCTCCACCGTTTTTTTCCGGTGCTGGAGCGGCAACACGTGCTGGTCAGGACGGACAGTACGGCGGCGGTGGCGTATATCAGCCGTATGGGGGGTATGCGCTCTCGCCGCATGTCTCAGCTCGCCCGCCGTCTACTCCTCTGGAGTCATCCGCGGCTGAAATCGCTGCACGCCATTCATATTTAGGCAAGCTCAACCTTGCAGCTGATGCGCTCTCACGGCAGCCTTACGTCCTGGAGAATGGAGACTCCACCCCGAGTCTGTTCAGCTGATATGGGCGCGATTCGGGGAAGCCCAGATCGATCTGTTGCTTCCCCCGAGATCGCTCATTGCCAGTTGTTCTTTCCCTGACCGAGTGCTCTCGGCACGGATGCACTGGCTTACAGCTGGCCTCGGGGCATGCGCAAATACGCGTTTCCCCCAGTGAGCCTGCTCGCGCAGTTACTGTGCAAGGTCAGGGAGGACGAGGAACAGGTTGCTGGTTGCGCCCCTCTGGCTCAACCGGACCTGGATGTCAGAGCTCTCCTTCGCGATAGCCCTCCCCTGGCAGTCCCTTCGAGAGAGCACCTACTCTCTCAGGGACAGGGCACCACCTGGCACCCTCGCCGATCTTTGGAGGTCATTAGACACGAGGAAGACTTAGGTAACCTCCGATTGCGGTGGCTAATACCGTCACTCGGGCTAGAGCCCCCTCCCCGAGCGCGCCTATGCCCTGAAGTGGAGTCTATTCACTGAATGGTGTGTCTCTAGCTGAGAAGACCCCCGTAATTTGCCAGATCAGCGTTGTGCTTTCTTTACGCCGAGAGAAGCTGGAGAGCAGGCTGTCGCCCTCCACACTCAAGGTTACGTGGCTGCCATCTCCGCTCTCATAACGCGGTGGCTGGCAGCACCGTGGGAACGCATAACCTCATCATCCGGTTCCTCAGGGGCGCTAAGCGAATTAATCCACCCCGCCCCCTCTCATGCCCTCTTAGGATCTCGCCCTCGCTTCAAGCCGCGTCAGATCCCTTCGATCCTCGACTCAGTATCTTTCTGTCCCTGAAGACAGCTCTGCTGGTCGCGTTGATATCGATTAGAGGGTCGGGGACCCGGAGGCATTTTTCGGTCAGTGACTCGTGCCTGTAATTGGGCTGGCTTTCTCTCACGTCCTGAGACCCCGCCCGCGATATGTGCCCAAGGTTCCTACACCTCCGTTTTAATACGAGGTAGTGAGCCTGCAAGCGCTGCCCTCGGAGGAGGCAGACCCAGCCCTTCTTTATTGTCCAGTTCGCGTTTTGCGTATTATCCGGACCGCACTCAGAGTTTAGATCATCTGAGCAGCTCTTCGTCTGTTATAGCGGTCGGCAGCAGGGAAGTGCCGAACCGAAATAAGTTCCCACTAGATTGTGGATGCCTTTCTTTCACTATCAGAGCCGAGATGAGCCGCGTTCCCCGAGAGCGCGTGCGCACTCCACTCAGAGCTTCGCATCCTCTCGAGTGCGCGCACGCGGCGCCCCTCTAACAGACATCTGTAGAGCTGCGGGCTGGGTGTCACCCAACACATTTGCAAGGTTTTACAATCTGCGAGTGGAGCCGGTTTCCTCAAGGGTATTAGGTAACCCTTGGTGATTGAGGAAACAATTCGGTAGGGTGTTGAAACACGTTTGCTGCGCCATTCTCCCTAACACGGAGGTACGTGCGCCTTTTTATCTGTCAGTAAAGTTCCCCGTCAGGTGAGCCCTGCAGATTCCTCCGTGGCCCCCAGCACTGACTCAGCGGAGGAGTCACTTGCTGGCCCACTACGTTGTAGGTCTGCCCGCTGGTCAGCCCGCGTTTTGGGTAAAGGTGCCTGCTATGCGTGATCCCCACTAGGCGATCCCATATGCTTATTCCGCCACGGTTAAGTCCCCCGCAAAACGTGACATTCATGTTTTACACTATTTCAAACTACATCATTTAATATAAGCTAAAACATTACAATTCTTGAGATTTTTTGGGGGACAATTTACTTGTTTTATGTTCAATTCACATGATTAAGTGAACTTAACTTAATGAATGAATTGTACCCAATGACAGTGTATCTAAAGGCAACAGAATAGGCCACCCTGCCAGGAGAGTCAAGTTGCAGGGATTTTGCATCTTACAGTGTAGGGTTGAAAAAAAAAAAAAACATCACATGCACACACACACACAAACACACACCCACTGGCATGTGCTTCAGCATGGGGTGCTTTGAGCACAAAACCCCAGAGAGCAGTGCACATCAGACAGTTTATTAAGGATGTACTACTAGATTATGTCTCACTAGTTGTTAAACGTTATATCTAATTAATCTTGTCTTTATCTAACGACTCTTTGGTCTTTTGATTCTATCAGTTAACTTGTCACAGCGTCAGTACACCGCTTCAATCTATCGATTTCACGCTTGTACTTAGTAATTTTAGCGAAAACCTCAGATACTGTTGGTTCCTGTTGGTTGTGCACCTTTTTTTACCAACCAAGTTTGTCTGCCTATTCATGCCAGAGTCCTGTGGAAAAAGTGCTTGACAGGCGGTAAATTGTATGTAACTCATCTTTATTTATTTAAGATTTAATTTTGGGTCAAACAAAGAGCACGCGCATCAGCTTGTTGATATGGTAGGCTACAAATTATTAATTAGTTATGAAGTAATTATTGATAATTAATTTACTGCTGCTTACAATGACGATGCCATCACAATGTTTCACATTAGACACCGTACGATGCCAAATTGTTCAACATCGCCCAACCGTATTACAGTGTCTGTCACAACTTTAATGTTGTTTTCTTGAGGTTACATTCATGAATTTGAGCACTGCTTAAATACAGTACATGCTTACACTACTGACAATCCACCAGTCATAACAGGGACACCTAATGTATTCAGGAGTCCTGAAAATGATGTTTTCTAAAATTCTAGTACAGAGCAACACACCTTTGCAAGGGATTACTGTTTAAGGCTACTGTGCTTGTGCTTTCTGGAATGACAACAGCAGATGACATATTGTATGATGTATGAACTAGCGACAAAATACATTATGATGACATGTGGAGGTTTAGTAATGGTTTCCTCCCTACCCCTTCACACTCTGTTTCAATGAACAAGGGAAAGGTGTGTGCATAGCCATAGGGATATACAATAGAATTGTGAATGAACTCAGTATGTGTGTTTTACTAATATTGTAGTTTAATTGTTCATTCTTTTTTCTTCTTAATTGTGTTATATGTGTTGAACTGTTACATGATTTAGGTAAAGTATATTAAGAGTAGCTGGTATGGAACAAGTAAATATGTCAAATTCAAAGAAGAATTCAAACCTCAGTCTGATCTCCTCCGCTCCGCACCACTGTCCTCTTCACCACTTTAGAGAAACTGTCAGCTTCGTCCACAGTGACAGCTTCCTGCTGCGGGCCCTCCAACATCACTTCCTCTCTCTCTACGCCATCTGCTGACACATACTTGCGGATAACTTTCCTTGTTATCTGTGAGGAGAAATTAGGCCAATGTTAAAATTGACAAAGGCAATCATGTAAACTTTACATTTGAGAAGAAAGTGTGCTATACTATCTTACTGCATATTTTATTAAATATCAGGAACTTTTTTTACATCTTAATGGCCCATGCACACTGCTTTTCATTCACATTTTCATTCCATTGTGGCCACACCAGATTAATAAGGGGACTAAGCGGAAAAGAGAATGAATGAATGAAGTTCATATAGAGTCATCTAATGTCAGCGTGGGATTTTGTGTGCTTACTCTGCTCAACACCTGAGTTTGTATGTAGAGAAATGGCTCGAAAAACGCTGACTATAAGCACAAACGAAAAGCGTCCCAGTGTGTTTGAGCCTTTACTCTGGTCAAGAACAACTCACTGAAACTGGAAGAGACCAATCAGAGTGTGATTTGTATAATACCATTAATTTTTATTTCTTTATTCATTTTTACTTTCAAAAGATTGCATTTAAATTCTGATTTATAAGGTAACTCATATTTCTTTCAGATATCACTAACGATTTTAATGGCAATTTATTAAAGAGAATATATAATTCATTATAAAAAACATATTTTGGTTTTGGGGGTCTCCAACAACAGGCTGATATGCATTCAAGGTTAAAAACACTTTCATTGTCTTTTAATATGCATTTTTTTTTGTACCCAGTTATCCCAACCACTCTCACATGATTTGTTTAGCGATTCATTTTTTTCCAAACCAAAGCGCAATGCTTATCTGTGCTGATTGTTCTATTGACCCAGTCTGTTGTGATTGGTTGACTGCGTTCAGCACCATGGCTTATCAACATTGTTGAAGTAGTCAGAGTGCAGAGTGTATGTGTGAGCCCAATGCAGGAGTACATTAAAGTAATGCAGTTAAACACCAGCATATTGATCTATTCTTAACCATAAGTAAAAACAATGACACACATTCAGTGTTAATCCACACAGTGGCAAAAGCTATTTTGAACCTTGATCCCCGTACGTGTGTAGGAACAGCTGACGGAGCCTTTATCTAGTTTGTAATGCCCACAAGGTCATCGGTGACATACAGGATGAATCCCATTACATCAGCGCTAAAACTTCATTTTTGACCATCTACTTTTCAGTCCTACATCCCGTCCAAACATATAGTTTATTAAATCCCCATGTACTTATCGAGATCTTGTCTGGTGATAAACAGATGTTAAAGTGGTCAGACTTGGTCCAACTTAAATATTACATTTATTGAAGAATAAAAGAACAGACCCTTATGACTAGAACAAATTAGTATATAAAAAGAAATATGATGAATAAAATGAATTTCCACCACACTGATCCATGAACTTTGTACTGATAAATTTCTGCTCTGACAATTTGCCATACATCATTAGTCTTTTCTGATCCTTCTTTTAACAAACGGCCTACAAATCCACCATTGCGGGGTTGATTATTGCATTAATCAGCATAATGTTCACTCAATGTTCACTCATCTTCAGTCATGATCAGTCTCACAGACACCCGCACTCTGTTAGCGTTTAAAGGGAAAGATGAATTAACATTTTACTGGATCCAGTACCTCAATATTGGTATTGTTTCGATTTGACATTGATACAAACAGGCAAAAAAACGGACTAATGACAAATCATTTAAAGGACTAGGAGTCGAAACTTTTATTTTAAAGATCTCAATTTTTAAACAAGATGTACTTTCAGATTTAAATCTCTGCTTGATGTTTTCATTCACTTAGAGCTGTGTTGTACACTTCATGGAATACACATAATAGGGCTCTTTAACAAATAAGTTTTCCACAGCAGCATTCTTACATTTTATTTCCAACTGTACCAATCAAGTTATTGTAATACGAGTGCAATATACTGTAAAAATATATATATTGGTTTTAAGACATGAAAAACTTGAAACTTTTACCTTTTTGACCACCATGTTTCCATATTCGTCAGTGTATTGCTCTTCTGTCACTGTCTGAGGAGGAATTTCAGGCATGTCGTCACCCTATAAAAGACAACCAACAACAAATTTAAAATACAGTAAAATTACTTTGTAAAAATACTTTGTTGTAATGAGTGAGACCCAATGTGTCTTTACTGAGAGCCATTCATTATTAGTTCATGTTTTCTTTCATAATACCAACAAAAAAAAAAAAAGGGCTCAATGACACTCGCAAAACAGGTACAGTACCTGAATTACAACTCTGCGCCGCACCACCCTGGTGGTCAACACCTCTTCCTCTGAACTATCAGACAGCAAACCTAGCTCCTCAGCTATTTCCTGAGAGTAGCAAAGATGCATTGTTTTCGCAATTACTGTCATGGATCTCATGTTCTTGCATGTCACACCATGCAAAGCCGATGTACTCAGAAAGTTTCTTTTACCTTTTTATATAAAAACTGTTCTGTCATGACAACTCTTGGAGAGATTTAGTATGGTGATGAATATAGCTGCTTCCCAAATGGCAAACTATGCACTATGCACTAAGTAATTATGCATTTACACACTCAACAGCATATGATATGTATGTAGTGTTATCCCAAATTGAACACTAATAGTTTTTTACTAAGCAGAAATTAAAACCGTTTTTCTGATGATTGATGGTTGAAAAATTAGTCAAACAAATGACCAAACTACCAAATAATACTTGAGTATAACTGCATTCACTATCGAGAGGGGGTATAATCACTCTTGTAGAAGAAATGTGCTTTCATAATCCAAAATAAAATATTTTACTGATACTTGAATAAGTGCATCATTTGGGTAATTAAAGCACACTTATTATTTTTAGAGCTTTCAGTGTAAACATACTACTTATGTATGTGATTTGGGACGCACCTTGTGTATATGCAATCTTGATATGTTTGGTCTTGGTGGCATACTGTAGATCTGCTACTGATTAAATTATTGGTGCAAAGCAAGTATTGAGACTTGCTACAGTCAGTATATTCACATTGTCAGAAAAAACAGTTTAACACTCTGCCATTGCAAACATAACATACAGTAAATATAACCGTCATTGCAGATCTAAGCATAGGTGGAGTTGGGGCTGAAGAGGGACAGAAAGTTGCAGATTGCTAGTGCAAATGACACTGAGGTACTCTAATGTTGAAGAGCAAGCTCATTTGCTGATGACGTGACAGCAACCAATCACTTGCACTATTTGTTTAATAGGGTTGTAGGCAGATTGCAAAGGACCTAATTGCATGCCCATAGAGTTTCATGACAAAAACTTTGTATTGATTTTAAGCACTGCTTTAGCATTCCAACATTTGCATTTCAAGACTTCACACTTAGCTATTGTTTGATAAAATTTGCAGATTTGGCATGCTGTTCCAGGAGAGAACCCTGAGCTTGGAGATGAACCCAGGGCTCCCGCCTGGTCATGTAGCATTACAGGGGGTCTGAGATCAGGTAGGTCTCGAGAGTGCACCCTGGTAGGGTTGTAACAATATACCGGTATGACGGTCTACCACGATTTGAACGTGCACGATTATCATACCATGAACAATTGCATATCAACGGTTTTAACCCTTAAAGACCGAGACAGCCGCCCGCGGCTAAAAATAAGTATTGCTCTTAAATGTTTAATAACTTTTGATCCGCTGATCCGATTCATACAATTCAAAGATTGGCATAAAGAAGAGAATGTCAGCTTTCCAGTGCTGTATCACATAACATATCACATCACATAACATGCAGACTTTCAGAAGCTCCGGAATCAGTGCGATTACGTCATCAAAATTTGACAACGCTGATTTGACAAAGAAACGCTCGTCACTGTGTCTCCTGACAAACCAGACATGATACATTGATGCATTGTCCCTCCTCCATGCCCAGATTGGTTCAAACTCGCTATATTACAACCAATAAGCACAGGTTTCGCTTTTGTTTGTGGACCAACAGTGAGCTTTTTGAACAACACGGAATGAGAGATAGGCATACATTTATGCGCGGCTAAATAAAACGCAAAAAAAAAAGTTTTGCATGAAATAATTCTCATACTAAGTACTTTTGCATGCACAGCAGCACAGAAACATGACAAAACAGTGACACAGCAAAGACGAACTGCTGCTCTTGCTGTTTTCAAAAGACGCAAATGAAGGTGCAGCTGTTTGTCTGCATTGCAGACAACCATATCCAAATCCATATCCACAGACAACCATATCCATGCTGGCACATAAAACCTAAGGATGGTCCATATTGAATCTAGTTTCATTATGTAACTATTTATAGTATAGTAAATATTTATATCTATTTTTTTACTGAGGATTTGCACCATGTTTATTTGGACTTTATTTGGACTTTGACACATTATTTATTATTTTCTTATTTTTTTATTTGTTCATTGTAAGTAGTGTTGTTTATATTAACTGAAAATATATTATTTGGAAAAAGTTAAATTTGCTTCACTGTTTTATTATTTTGTAACATTTGTAACATACCGTATACCGCAAAACCGTCAAACCGTGGTATTGTTTTAGACGATTATCATACCGTAAAAAATTCATACCGTTACAACCCTACACCCTGGTAAAAGAGGAAAGGGGGAGATGGGGGGATGGTGGAATTCTTCAAAACGAAGATAAGGAAGGTAGGATGAATTGGTTTATTTATTCGAGGCTAGAAATCATCTAACTGGTTTAGCAATGATATCTGATTGGACTAGCAACGATTATTGAGACCAGCCGTGATCAATCATAACACATGCTCCTCTCGAAAATAGTTTGTAAAATTTCATTTGGAGCAATTTATTGCAATGCAAAAAATGCTGATGAATAAAGTGAAAAGCAGGAAATTAAATCCAACCAACATCGTGCACATAAAACTAGTTAAAAAGGAGAAAAGTTATTGTCACATTACTGTATATCAAGTTCTTTAAGTTACCGTGAGGTGCACATATTTGTATCAATGTATGTTTAGCTTGTTAGCACTAAAAAGTTTTAAAATGTTTATTAGATTACAATTTAGCTTGTTAGCACAGTCCTCCGACCCAAAAACAAAAAGCGAAGGCAACTGTTTTACTCATGCTAATGGCTTACCCTCCCTAGAGAGTCATCATCGTCATCATACTGTACTTCCTCCATTGGAGGTAACTCTTCAGCAAAGGGACGCTCACCTAAATAATCATAAGGGAAAGCCTTCTCCTCAGCACTCTCACCAGTAAATTCATCCTCTGGTTCTAAAATTATGGGTAAGTCCTCACTGCTCCATGATAAGGGCCGATCCTCTTTTTTAAGCTGGGTGAACTCTTTAAGTTTAGTGATGCCTGTCAGATATTCAGGGCTACTTGATACAGATGGAAGTTCTTCAAAATGGTAAATTGCTTGAGGAACATCTAAAAGTTCTGGTGATCCCACTTCTTGTTCAGATGTATCAGAAAACGTTTGGCGACAATCGAAAAACTCAGCATCTGACTCAGTGCTATCGGCATGAATGGGTCTTGCTCTGGCCTTGAGACTGAGACTGTAAAATGGAGAGTCAACATCTAAAACTGAAGTAGCTCCTAATTGCAACTGGTCATCTTTCAGTTTTGTCGGCATCTCAGCAACTGAATAAGCTCCAGGAATGGCCAAACTTGATTCGTATGTTGGCAATGTATGTTCACATTTGATGACAGATAAGTCAGTTTTTGACATCTGACTGCTTGCTGGTGGTGTCTTCACAGATGAAAGCACATTTTTGTCATCGGGTGATTGAATACGCAAACTAAATGGAAATGAAATTCGATTTAATTCAACTCTTCTGTGAGAGTCTTTTGGATGAAACTGAAAAGGATTTACTTTTTGCAATGCACTTGGTGCTTTAGGTTGTTGAGATGATGAACCAGGAGTGGAATTGAGGACCTCCAAATCAAAGACTGGTTGAAATCTTTTCTGCTCTGGAATACTGGAGACTTGTGTGGTCAGATGCGACTCTTGTGACGATTCACTTGTCTGCAAGGATGCTAATAACTGAGGCTTTAAGGTTCTTGAAATAGATGATTTATTTATTTTGCTTAGACTTAAATCTCCCTTCACTTGAGGCTCTAAATGAGTGTCCTTTGGGATATCCTGTGCAGAACAAAGGGAATTAAAACTGTTCTTCTTCTCATTTAATTACACCAAACACAAACTATTTTCTTGCATGGTAAGTCTGAGCAGATGCTTTTACTTCCAAAGCAAAATATGGATTTTAGTTTGTCTAATGTTGATTCAAACATGCAATAAAGAATAAAACTTATTTAATTCCTAAAGTTAGATACGAAAGCCACTGGGGTGAATTAGTAATACTTTACACTGTTCATAAGTTGTCCATTTAGTCTTGATTTGTTAGTAGATCAAACAGATCTAGTAGATAAACTAAAAAATTATATATGTTTCAGGGTAGATCTGACACTGCATTCTCATTGGTTAACAACACACAGAATTCACATCTGCATGCTCGAAATCTTACCACTTTGTTTGAGTCTTCTGAGATTTGTTGTCTTGAATCATGTCCTAGATCATCTTTTTGTTGCTTTGGATATTCCATTTGTTTCTTTTCATCATTTTCCATTATGTGGCTTTCACTTGCTTCTTTATTTGCAAATGAGCCTGCTGCTGTGATTACATCCCTTTCTTCACAGCAAATAATTGTCTTTGTTACAGTTTTTGTGTCCTTTTTTGCTTGGCCTGAGGCTATTTCATTAGATGAGTATGGTTTTAGTCCATCATCGACCGAACACTCAATATTACTTAAAATAGATGAAATAGATTGAAGCCCCTCTTTATCGGGCCGAGACTCGATTTGTACTGTGCATTTTTCAAATGTCACTAGATTCAGCAAAGCAGAATCATTTTTATTTGCAGACAGAAGTTTCTCATCAATATCAGAAAGTGGCAAATCACACAAATTGTCATAAAACTCTTCTGAATCAGATTCAATAATCATTGATTCAGGAGATTCAGGCAGATCAAGTGTCTCAAAAACTAAAGGTTCTGGAGTAACAGATTCAGTTAGTTCTGTTAGTAATGTTGCTGCTTCAGGTGATGGGTTTCGCAATTCTGTTTCAGAACAGAACATCTGAGGTGATAAAGACCTAGAATCTGTGTCCGAAATATCAGAGATAGATGATAAAGGCCTGTTTTCAGACATAGTCCATTGCGGAAGTGGATAAACAGATGAGAATGATTCAGGGTAACATGAGTCCATATCCAAACTTTGATCATTACACACTGAAGTGGAAAATGGATTGACCATGAGTGTGTGCTGGTTGGTTGGAACTGGTGATGTTGTTGAGTATTCAGGTACAGGTGAAT